TTTTGGCACTAAATTACAGGTTTCTGTGAGAATCAAATACAATTATGTTCATGAAAATGCTCTATGGGGAAAAAAAAGGTTGCTTTTCTCTGGAATAAAAGCTACTCATTCTGGACAGATACACTACTGTATTTGACCTTGAATACAGCTCCTGATTTTAAGGCATTTATCTTCCTTTTGTCTTCACTAGATTATAAAACCTATAAAAGTATACAATGTGTCTACTCTGTTATGAAGCACAATAAGCCTTAAATGTTGTCTTAATTAACACTCACAGTAGAAACTATTATTTGAACCTAATTCATCTATATACCATCAAAATACACACACAACAGGTATACAGAAATATATACACACTTATATAAATACATACACACACACACACACACACAACACTATTTTGTGAATGCAGCCTTGACTGGCTGTGAACTCCCCCAACACATTTATTTTTCTTTATATTCCCAGGGTGTCTGGCAATGAGTGTTATAGGCACTTAAACTGTGTTTTGGACTAAAATGAACTGAAGTGAGTTAGATATCTTAGAGAGCATATCAGTGGCTTCTGGTAGTCTTTATGTTTCTTTCTCCCAGGAGTGCTCTTCTCATTATTTATTAAATATATATTGTAGAAAAATGATATCCATAATATGGTTAATATAGAAAAAATAAAAATAAAAACATATGATTGTCAATATGTATAATCAGTGGTGTGCCAGTAAATGTTTAATTAAGTGGCTCAGTGTGGGGTGGGATGCGGTGTCTGACTTTCGATATTTGTTTACTTCCATGGTTTAAATACGCACTGTGGCCTATTTCAAGGTAATGAAATGATATCAACTAGTTCCCAAATACCTGAAAATTTAACAATCAGCACTCTCAAACAAGCATGAGCCAGCTCCAACAAATCATTGGATGCAAAATTTATATATGTGGCACACATGATCCCAAACTCTGCTCTGCAATACTACCTTCTACATTCCCAAAGGAAAGTACAAAAGACTAGGAAAAGAGAAAATCCATACCCCATTCCTGTAAGGCCTTTACCTCAATCTACAAAGTAGTCTTTTTTTAAACTGGACGGATGATCCAACCCAAAAATTCCTTTTGCCTAGGCTAGTGACATCAGAACTATTCTGATCATGCACTCCAAAAAGTAAAAAATGTCTGAGCATACATCCCTAATATGTTAATATATTTGTTTATAAATTACATTAGAGCTGCCATATATATTATATATACAAATACAGTATAAATTCTAAAGTATACACAAAAAACAAATTTTAAAAGTTAAAATTTAATACAAACGGAAGAGAAAAATTTCCTTCCCATATCCCACTGGACTATCTTACATACACCCCTGGTGTTTACGAAATCTAGTTAGAGATTGGTAAAGTCAACATGAAAAGTAAAATGAATAGCTTCATGGACCCGTTTCCCTTTTCTGGATCTTCCCACTTCAATGCTGAAAAAAAAGCAAGCACCAACCCATGGAAAAGAAAGGAAGTAAGAGGGGTGCCTGAGTAGCTCAGTCAGTTAAGCTGACTCTTGATTTCGGGTCACGTCATGATCTCATGGTTCAAGAGTTCAAGCCCTGCATGGGGCTCTGTGCTAACAGCACAGCCTGCATAGGATTCTCTGTTTCTGTTTCTGTCTGTCTCTGTCTCTGTCTCTGTCTCTGTCTCTGTCTCTCTCTCTCTACCTCTCTCCCACTCATGCCCTCCCCCACTCCCTCTCAAAATAAATAAATAAACATTGAAAAGAAGGAAAGAAAGAAAGAAACAAAGAGCAAGGTCTTAAACAAAGAAAAGCAAATCAGAGACCTCATTTAAAAACAACACAGGGGCGCCTGGGTCGCTTAGTCGGTTGAGCGTCCGACTTTCGCTTGGGTCATGGTCTCACGGTTCGTGGGTTCGAGCCTCGCATCGGGCTCTGTGCTGACTGCCAGCTCAGAGCCTGGAGCCAATTTCAGAGTCTGTATCTCCCTCTCTCTCTGACCCTCCCCTGCTCACGCTGTCTCTCTCTCTCTCTCCTAGAAATAAATTTTTAAAATATTAAAAAAAATAAAAATAAAAAAAATAAAAAATAAAAACAACACAATACAATCCTGTGGACAAGCTCCACTGAATTAAGACTCCTTAGGAGTGAATCATTAGAGAGGCTCTAAAAACACCATCCTTATTGGAGTTTTTAACCCCATAAAGTGATATACCCTGGCCATCTATATCAACTCAGGCAAGCAAAAAAGCTGGGAGGAAACTTGGGTTTCCCTAAGGACCAAAAAGTGTCATCTAAGCAAGTGTAATATTAATAAAATCTTAAGTTGGAGGGTGCCTGGGTCGCTCAGTCAGTTAAGCATCCAACTCTTGACTTCTGCTCAGGTCATGATCTCATGGTTCACGAGTTTGAGCCGCACTGTCAGTGCAGAGCCTGCTTGCAAGTCTCTCTCTCTCCCTCTCTCTCTTTCCTTCCCCTGCTGGTGCATGAGCACACAGCCTGAATGTGTGCTTTCTTTTTCTCAAAATAAATACATAAACGATAAGCCAATAAAATCTTAAGTTGGGAAATACACAGAACAAAACTATGCCAGATGCATTTAAATCATATAGAACAGATAAAGCTTTTCTTTTCTATATTCAGGCTGTCCCTCTTGGCGGGTCACTTTGGCAGGTCACAAACATGCTAGTCCCTAATCAAAAACAGTAACTTTGCTAAAAAAAAAAAAAAAAAAAAAAAAAATCAAGAAATGAAGAACAACTTCATCAGGATCACAGACAATAAAAGGAAGATTTTACAAACATGTTTAAAAACACTTAAGGATATTAAAGGCCTCTAAAGAAATGAGCCAGGTAAAGTACTATTGCTTTTCCTTTCCTGTTACCAATTTCCCTGTCATACATAAAAGGCATTAAAGATGGATCTGCCCCCATCCTTGCTCCCTGAAAGAAAAACCACACAGAAACAGAAGGAAACAACAACAAAAAAACTTCTGAGCTACCATCTCATCAAGATTGACAATATTTAACATGAAGGAATCAACCCTTCTTTATTCTTTTCATCCTTTGCTCTCATATTCCATAATTGTTTCACAATGACTTAAGACTTAAAGCTTTGGCTAACGTGATAATCAAAAAGATTCCCACACCTACAAATTTATCTACCTCCCATCCACTGAATCTTTCCATTTCATCCTTCTTTAAAGAAGATGAGGTTTCTTCAGGGAAACTATATGCCCTAATAAAAATTATTTTTTAAAATGTACTATTGTCTCTTATTGCAATAAGGTTGCCTAACTCTTCAAATTCCCATTGAAACAAGAGAAAAAATAGTTTAAAACTAAATAAAAAACATAATCACACTAGAAAACAAAAAGGGAGGGGCACCTGGGCGGCTCAGTTGGTTGAGCGTTTGACTTCAGGTCATGATTAAGGTCATGATCTCTAGGTTGCTGAGTTCGAGCATGACATCAGGCTTACTGCTGTCAGTGCAGAGCCCGCTTCGAATCCTCTGTCCTCTTCTCTCTCTGCCCCTCCCCCAGCCTGTTCTCTTTCAAAAATAAATAAAACACTTTAAAAAGAAAACAAAGACGGTGACACTAGCAGATAAGAGTTTTCACAAACTCTAGATCCAGGATTGTCAAAGATGAGCATGCCTCAAAATCATACAGATGGCTGGTTAAAACACAGATTCTAGCTAATATAACACTGTCAAAAAGACTTCATAAAAAATTAAATTAAATTTAAAAATATGATGTATAGAAACACATACACACACACACACACACACACACACAGATTGTGGGACTCTACCCTCATGGTTTCTAATTCAGTTAAGTTTCAGGTAGGCTCAAGATTTTGTATGTCTAACAATTTCTCAGGTGATGCTGATTCTACTGGTCTGAGGACCACATTATAAGAACCACCATGCTAAGTAAATAGAGATCACTAAAAGGAACAGTTTTTATTAATTCTAATTAGCATCCTCAGAGAGATTCAAATGGATGATACAGCCACTGTTTTTCCAGTATGTGTAAAATAAGAAAGAGACTTGGAAAACTGGAAAAAATACAATTTCTGAATTTAAAAATAAAACTCAGAAGGGCTAAATAACAACTAAAACCCAACAAAGCAGTGTGGAAAATAGTCTAAGACATCTTCCAAAACATAAAGCAAACAAAAGACAAAGAAATGGAGACTATGAAAGAAAAACTAACAAGCATAAAGAGTTAATACCTATCTAATAGGTATCTGAAGAAAGAACCAACATACCACTTAAAGTAATCAAGGAAGAAATTTCCCTAAGCTGAAAAAGACTCAAACCTTGATACTGCTTGGCTAACTTCCAAGCAGGTAAAAAATTTTAAAGCCAAAAACCAGACACATATTTATAACATTCCTAAACTTAAAAGACATAAAGAAAACTCTAAAAGCTTTGAGGGGGTAAAACACAGGTTGTTACAAAGCAGTATGAATCATATGAGCATCAGAGATTTTATTAGCATGTAAGAAGAAAAAGGAATCTTGTTTATAAGCTTCAGAGATGCAATTATTTTGAACCTGGAATTCTACATCTAGTAAAACTACCAAATACGAAGGCAAAATAAAGACATCTTTGGAGATGTAAGAACTAAGAAAATGGACTTCCTGTCCATATTTATTTCCTACTTCTACTGTGAGAAATTATCACATAAGTCCAAAATAGATTTCAATGAGCTAAAATTGAGGTATTGGCAGAATCACATCTTTTGGAAGCTCTAAGGAAGAATCCATATCCTTGCCTTTTCTACCTTCTGGAGGCTGCCTCAATTCCTTGACCCCTTCCATTTTCATCATTATTAAATGTTATCAGTACCTATGGCAGACTTTTCAGTTCATTCAAGGAACACAAGTGATTATGGCTACACTACAGCCTCTGACAGAGTAAAATGAAAAATATTAGTATATTCTTTATCATTTCCCTAAAAAACATTTTAATCAATTAATATTTGTATTAATACACACCTACCGAATCATTCGCTGCTAGTGCAAGTGCAAGGTTCACTGTAAGAAACAAAAACGTAATTAAATTTAGTAACTTTCCTTCTACTAAAATTCAGTTTGACTTTTAATATTTTCAAGGTAATAACCAAAACATGATAAATTTTTAATAGATCTCCTATACTTGTAAAAAACAAAGACACAAGAATACAGAAAGTAAACAAGACAAAAGAGACTAATTTTTATAAATTACAAAATGATTCTGAATTTGAGATACATCACATATTAAACATTAACTATTAAGCAGAAATTTTTAGAGAATAATTCATCTCAGTGTTAGGGTCTCCTCCCATTCACATAATGGAACCACAGAGAATATCTGTATTAATCATATGTCATCATTCTAATCAAAAATATCTCAGGCATACATGTTCAAATGGAAAGAATTTTGAGATAGTTTGGGACAAGAATATATATAACGGAAAGAAATAGAATACCAACAGAGTTATACAGAGTTTAGCCTTATTTCTAAGGTTTAAGTATGCAGATAGAGCTGTTAGCAAAAAGTAAAGGCCAGCTCTTTGGGAGGGATGATATAATGATAACAAAACAAAAAAAGCAAGGAAAGGGCATTCACGGAAACACCTACTATGTGTCACAACTGCATATTTTCTCATTTATTTTCCTATTTAAATGCTGTCACAGGGGTGTCTGGGTGTCTCAGTTGGTTAAGGGTCCAACTCTTGATCTTAGCTCAAGTCTTGATCTCACAGTTGTGAGTTCAAGCCCCATGTTGGGCTCCACGCTGGGTGTGGAGCCAACTTAAAAAACAAAAATGCTGTCCCATTCCATGGGAACAGATGATCTGCTACCCAAAAACAAAAACCGTGTTTTAAGCAAGTACAAGCCTACAGACCCAACAAATTATATTGCATAAAACTCAAAAACCTTAGTGATATCATGAAAATACCTTCCATCTTTAACCACAGAGATGCAAAAGGATTCACATTACTGAAAACAAATAAATGTATTCTGAATTTTCAAAAAACAGGAAGAAGTAGATGCTAGAACCAAAGACTAAAAGCTTCTAAATTTAAAAAATGAAACATTAAATAGATGGATTGCAGGTCCTTAGAAAAGAACGTAAAAATATGAAAATTATAACATTAATTAATTAGGAACAATCATTAATCATTTTTAATAATAATACAGTATCTATCAAATAGTAATATATTAGAGGCCTATTATTACTATAATACTTAGTAAATTTTAGTTTCTTCAAAATATCCGAAAAACTCTTCCACAATTAACTTCAGGTAAAAGTGAGAAAAAATTGAACTAATAACACTATCTAGTTGGATATGTAGCTGGTTGTATAACTATAAAACTGCTATACTGGGAAATTACTAAATATGGTTTTAAGTGAAGACAAGATCTCCAGTAATAGTCACAGAACTCTGTACGAGCCCTTATTTCAAAATGTCATTGATTCCAATGGAACAGAATTTTAAGGTACATATGTCACTCAATTTAAATAGTCTGAAAAAAAATACAACATTTAAAAGGTCTTGCCTGTCTCGGACTATACCAAAATCAACAAATAAACTATAGTAAGGACAATCATTTTCTAAAAATCATCTGCAAAAAATGGGGCTCCTAGGTCGCTCAGTCAGTTAAGCATCTGACTCTTGATTTCAGCTCGGGTCATAATGTCACAGTCCTAAGACTGAGCCTGGAAACTGGCTCCAAGCTGGGCAAGGAGCCAACTGGAGATTCTCTCTCCCACTGTAAGTACTCCACTTTTGTAGGCACATGCATGGGTGCTTTCTCTCCTCTCTCTCAAAAACAAAACAAAACAACAGCAACAACAGAGAGAAAAAAGAAAAAAAAAAATCATCTACAAAAAGATAGGTTGGATAAAACCTGACCTAGCAGCCATTCCTACTGAAATGACTGCAAATTAAATATAAGGCAACAAGATAAAGAACATTTTATGACTCCAAATTAACAATACAAGTCACCTCTGTTGTGCAGGATTGGAAGGAAAGTTATTACCCTTTTACGTTACACTGGAATAATCTTTTTAGCAATAAAAATTTTATTTTGAAAAACTCTAAGAATATCTGGCTATTAGTCTTGGATGGTAACTCTTTTATTTCTGGTGGTACTTCCATGGATTCTGAAAGCAGCACTTCAGTCATGATGAAATCTACAAATAAAAAGAGCCACCAAAAACAAATCTCTGCTCTAGTATTATTAATATAAAAGACATATTAAAAGATTATATATTTTAAATAACTAAAACAATGTTAAACCTTTCCAAGCATTTCCAAATATTAGGTCATTGATTCTATGATATTATTGTTAAAAGAAAAATGGTCACAATAATGTAAAAATTCTCACTGCAACTGTATAGCTATACAAACACTGATAGACTGGAAATAAATATCAACTAACCAAAACAATTTAGTATTAAAGTTAACAAATGTTTAAAACGCAATAACAGCAACCAAATATTGAGAACCTACTACTTAGGAGACTCTGGGCAAAGGGGTTAGCTTATTTAATTTACATAGGCACCCTATGAAAAAGATTATCAGCATTGCCACTTTACAGTGGCAATTTCTCTCTCTGGGCAATCTGGTGGGCAATCTGACCACGTTTTCCTCAAATAAGTCAAACTCGTGCCTATGCATCTAGTTTTTTTCTAACTACACATCTAAGGTCCTAATCACTACCAACTCCTGAAACTAGGGAATCAGCTATTATGAATTTCACAAATAACTCCTTAAAAATCAAAACTGTAGTTTTAAAGCTGTGCATTCACCAGTTGGCATAAATTCCTAATCGAGATCATAATATCCTATAATACCTGCTGTAGTAGATTTTCCAACTCCACCTTTTCCAGAAGCCACAACTATAACTTGCTTTACACCTTGTATTGGTTTCTGCTTTGGAAGTCCTCGGGACAGGATTTGCCTTCTTCTTTGTTTTAGGGTCTCATTGTCAGCGCCAGAATACTTTAAAAATAAATAAATAAATAAATAAATAATAAATAAATAAATAGTTTTAAAATTAGCCACCTTCATTATCACTCTGTTAAAGTATAAATTTGGAGTTTGTAAGAGGAATTTCTTTTCTAGGCTAATTCTGATCTCCATTAGTTAGGTTTTTCATGATACCTATTGGTATTGACAATGGTAGAAAGATACTGTTCAAGTTGAAATTTATCTGCCAGGCTATGTAGACCTAAAAAATGGAAAGTTAATAAAATGCTTCGTGCAGAGTTAATACTCCAGGAGTTTTCTTTTCCTTAACCTATTTTCTAAGTAAGTCAACACAGAAAACAATGTACGAGCCACACATCCCTGTTTTAAGCATCTGTTGCATATCCCGTCTCGCCTCGGCCTATCCTACTGGGGGACTGCTTGTAAAGTGGTAACGTTCAACCAGCTGGGGTTTCAGTTTGTCACCGAGTCAGCGGGGGCCCGTTAAGGTCTTAGGAGGGTCCTCAGCAAGAGGCTATGCCAGGCACCCCAGCCCTGCCACCCTAGCATCTCCGTCCCTCCCGCTTCCCCCTGTCCTGCAGCATCACGGACCTGACGCCGACAAACCAACACTCGGCTTCCCCCAAGTGAGACATTGGTCCCACCGCCACCCCGAAGCGACACCCCACCAAGACGAAGCAAACGCTGCCACGACCCCATAGCACGGAACGCTGCTTTAAGCGCAACCCGGAAACCGTCGCGGCCGGCGTGGAGTGATGACGTCACGTAGTAACGCTTGGCTTCCTCTCCCTAGCAACTAACAGCCTATGAATTTCTTCAGCACAGGAACCCAGTTTGTTAATGCGAACATTTCGTAGCCAGGTACAAACATTTACAGCGTTTAACCAAATGTTTGTGCAGTGTTTTCACATTACCTCTCTATTTGGTCTTCACAGAAGTCTTGTAGCGGATAGATAGGAGACTCTAATAGCAGTGTGTTCTCTTTGGTAGTAAAAAATGAGACTTGACCCGACTGAAAAGAAGTAGGAAATGGTAAAACTTGAAAATGACTCCAGGTTTTCTCACCGCGCAAAATATGGTAACTTAATGATTCCCACTGTTTTACCTTTCTTCCCCTTATATTATGTACAATAATAGTCCGTGTTCATGTTTACTTGCTGTGTTGCTGACAGTTTCCTGAAAGAGAAGCCGGGTACTCTGTTAGGCTTGGAAAAGTTTCGCTAAGTCAGAAAGCAGGTCTCATGAAGCAAGCTTCTCTCAAGAAGGAAGTAAGACAGGCTTGAAGAAGAAGGTGTAATTTATTTTAGTATGAGGAATGAAATATTCTTACACCCAAAATGTATGAAAGCGAAGGAAATCGCTGTAAATGGGAAAGCTAATACAAAAATCCAGACCCAGCAAAAGGATCCTTTAGGTTGTAGGTTCGTCTACTCTCACATATTCTCCATAATATTTTCTAAAGTTGATGTTAATGTCTTTTTTTTTTTGCTTATCTGAAGAGAATGTGTTATACAATTATTCTAATTTGACCTTTAATTTTTTATCTTTAAGCATCACACAACAATCTCAAATAATTATTGCAAGGATTAGATATTACCAACAAAATACATTTAATTAAATAAGCTCTGGGGGGAAAAAAAACAATTCCTTGTTTTTTCTCGCTCAGTCTCACATTACTGCTTCATTTGGCTTATCACTTTCTTATTTTGTGATATGCTTTCTCAGTTAATTTTTATCCATTTTTATCTGCTCAATTTTTATAAATTGTAAATGAAGTGACTAATTTCTTCTTTGTGCACAGAGGAGCAGAAAAAGCCAATGCCAAGAGTGAAGAATCAAGCAGACCATAAGAGAAAATGTTTGCAAGGAGGAAAGGGAGAAAAATTGCACTGATTCATAATAGCTTTCCAGTTCCTGGTTCTAGTCCATAATGAGGTTCAGCCACATATCCTATTCATAGATCCATGAGATATGGATCTCTTTCCAATAAACTCTCTTTCTGCCTTGGCCTAATTTGGGTGTGTTTCTGTGTACTTATAACTATGGTAAGATATACATTTATAATATTTATCAAGATGCGCCCCCCACCCTGCAATTCCTTGTACCTCATATAGCCCTTCTCCATTTGGATAAACTATGTGGCATCATTTTATGAGACAGAAACATGTTAAAGAGATTGTTTCTTTGCTTTTGAATTTTTAAAATTGAGACTTTAAGGAGAATGAGGACAGGTCTGGCAAAGACAATACATTTGGGAGAGCTACATCGTATAAACACATGGTTTCTCCCTCCATGAGTTGGGATTATATATGGCTGCAAGTAGCAGAAAACTCTACTTTTCTTAAACAAGTACGGATATATTAGTCTCATATGAAATATTCACAAAGAGTCTCTTCAGGTCTGATGTAGTGCCTCCACTGTGACATTATGTCCCAAATTCATTCTTTTTGTTCCATCATCTTGTTATCCTTATTTTGTCACCTCACAATCACAAGATAGTAGCTGCACTTCCAGACATCAAGGCTATGTTCCACACAGGAAATGAGGGGAACGAAAAGATAAAAAGCTTTTTCTAGTAAGCTTTTGCCTCTTTTTTTTTTTTTTTTTTTTAATTTGAGAAGAGAAGCCACATACACACCAGACTGGCTAGAACCGGGTCACAGGACCACCCTTAAAAGCAAGAGAAGCTGAGAAATCAAGCATTTACATATCTGTAACCTACAGAGTAGAGGAAAGCAATGAAGAAAATGATGGGTATGGATATTGAATAAGCCAACTCAATATCTGTCAAAACTTTCTGGGATTATAGGGAATCAATATAGAAAAAAAGTGAGAACTTAAATATTCACAAGTTCTTAAACTAGATATTGGTGGTTGGATAACCCAAGAACATTCCCTCAACCCCCAATTTCCCTGCCACGTTCAAGTGCAGAGGCTAGAAATCCAAATAACCACTTTCCTAGGCTCACTTGCTAATTGTAGACATAGTTCTGGGCATGTATGACATACTTCTGGACAATGTGGTATAAGGGAAATTTTCTGGAGACCTTCTGAGAAGGCTTTTGCTTTTTTGATAAAATAGAACATGACTAGGGGTCCCTGTGTAGCTCAGTCGATTAAACATCCAACTCTTGATTTCGGCTCAGGTCATGATCTCCTGGTTCCTGAATTTGAGCCTCATGTCAGGCTCTGTGCGGAGCCTCCTTGGGATTTTCTTTCTCCCTCTCTCTCTGACACTCCCCGACTTGCATTCTCCCTATCAAAATAAATAAATAAATATTTAAATTACTTTATAAAAAATAAAACATAATTGGCACTACTGCTTTTTCCCAACTTGACCATTGATGTGACACCTGGAGGTGTGGTAGTCATCTTGTGAACATGAGAAGCACAATGGTGACAGATACGATGACAAAAGTCAACAGCTAAGGTAACTAAGGGGATATATGTCAGAAGATGAATTCTTAGCTATACAGTTAAGCTGCTATGCCAGTCCTGACATGCATCTCCAGTCATCTTGTCGTGTGAGATAATTGTTTTAACCACTGTTGGTTAGGATTTTTATTTTAAGTTAAAATAATCAGTGCCTATTATAGTTCCTAAGACAGAACCTGATACACTGTGACTGCCTCTCTCCTGTTGAATCCCAGTAAGGAGGGGGAACATAAGAACCCCAAGTCAGCTTAAGGGAGGTGAGAACAACAGAATCATGCCCCCATTACCAGTTAGAACTCAATGTAGTATCAGGTCCCCAGAATAAATACAGATGAATGTTGTGTGTAGGCAGACAGTCTGGGAGAACTTCATAGGGTTTACCTCCTGCAAGCAGCTGCGTCTTGCTGAGGGAAAGCTGATCTTTAAGAGAACTTGAGGTCAAGAATAAGGGAAGACTTGGCAACAATCTGCTTGATGCTGGTATAAATAGATAAAAACCTTAAGGATTAAAATCATGTCACCATGTGGACATCTGGACACTACATAGGCACCATCCTGGTTTCTACCACCCTGAGAGAAATTTATAAATATTGTTCCAAAAAAGAGGATTCTTTTGAATGTCTACTAACCATGAATAGGGTAAGACTTTGAAATATTTTCTAGAAAGCATGTGTTTTTATCTGCTAGATTATAGAACCCCACGCCAAAATAAAAGATCCTCAGGTGACCATGGACTCATTGAAAATTCAGATTCCCACATAGAGGCAGAATCTGCCTCATCCCCTGTCCAGAAGCCACACTATCAGCTAAGAACACCCTTCATCTCTTTGCTCAACTCACCAAGGAAGAAGAGGGTGTTATGGACAATTTCCTGTCCCTGTTGACTACACTAACTAGCGCTTAGAAACTAGTGCCTTCTTTTAAGATTACTGTCCCCAAATGAATCCTTTATTCTGCCCAAAGTGTTCACTGAAATGGAAACCTCACCCCATCAATGGACATCTAAGTGACAACCCCATTAATCGACCCTCCTTTGTCCTACAGTGTGATTTCTTTCCAAGTCTCTCTGCTTATAACTAAACATGAAACTGTCTCTTACCTATATCTAACACAGATTTTCACATTGAAATATAAAGTATTTCTGCTTACGTAAATAGTTTCTCAATGAGTCAGTCTCCCTGTAGGAAACCTGGCCTAGAAAATTTTCCCAGATATCAAAGACTCTGCTAGCCTTTCAGTACCTTAGCTCACATAAACTAAGGGGCTGTCAAAGAAACTCCCCATTATTTATTTTCTAAAATTACATAAAGCAAATATGTATGTATATTCTTAGACTGGATTGGCTTCTGAGAATAAAACTTCTAATGCCTAAAAATCCACCTCCAGAATGCGACAGGATGGGATTCTAGTATATGTGCTGCTGAAGCGAGCACAAACAGGATGGGATTCTAAATGCCAATATTCAAAGCTAGAAAAATCATGGGTGATTTGACATTTGAATTTCTGATTTATAAAATTGAACTGAATCCTTTGACAAAGGTCACGGGGCTCAAGTTATACCCGAATATATTCTCTATTAAAGTTTCAAAGAAGAGCCTATCCTGAAATAGAAGCCACACAATCAGAATTTAGAAAAAATTACTGTCACACCAGGAAAATACTTGCTATACATAGGGCATTAGTATTCCCATGCCTTTGCTTTTTTATTTCATTTTCTCCAAGTACCAAACCTGTGTTCATTCAGCTGAGTCCTCCCTACCCTTCAATTCTATCCTAAAGATTAGAAGACTTAAGTGTCTACAAGACTGATAAAAACTTGCTTCATTCTGTATTCAGAAGAGAATTTTCCTGTGCACTTTAGAGAACATACCAAATGACAAACAATGACAAAGCAGAGCCCCATCAAGATACTAAATAAACCTTCACATCAGCTAATGTGAAATTCTATTTTCTTCAGGGAAAAGGAGATAATAGAGATTTTTGTCTGTTGTACACTACTGCCAAAATGTGAGGATGTCCTCTAGAATCATGTGGCTTACATAATATCTTAGTCTACTTGATGTTCTGATAACCAAATCTTGTCAATTCATTTATTAACCTTTTCTACTTAGGATTTATTAACCATATGTATAAATATTATACGTGATATGTTATAAATATTGCAGGTACAAAATTTGTTCAATTTATTTATAAAAGTGAAGAACTCCTGCCAAATCACTGTAATTTCTCAAAATACATCTACATTCTGGTTTAGAGCAATGACATAGAAACACCATCATTAAGAGTTATAATATCAATTGGATACAGGAGACACTGGCAAACTTCAAAATATGAAATTTCTCTTTGTCTTCAGCCTTCCACACAGCTCTTAAGCTGTTTGATATGCTCTAATTCATACCAACCAACCTTACAGGCAGTATTGGGTCCATTTTCTACTGCATCTTAAATAAAATGGGATTTTCCTAACCACCCATGATTCAGGCTAATGAACTTACTTTCAATCCTACTGGAGGCCATCTATGAACCATAATTCAACAATCTAAACACTATGGGAAGTGATAATTACTAATCCCCTCCATCTCGGGCTTTTCCAGTCCTTGCTAGTCTTTAAAACAGATACAAATGGTTTTGCATAGAAAATATTCATTTGGGTCATAATTATTCTAAGTAGTTTAAAAACTGGTATTTTGAGTTGCTTAGGAATACAAAGAGTTCTTTTGATTATTAGATGAAGTTCTATCAATTACTCCAAGTCAAAGACTTTATTATATTAATGCCACATTGAATCTCTTTTGCAAATTTCTAATCATGTGCAAGAATTATGGTTTTATTTAACCAAGGCTATTTATGTGGGGGAACATGCTGGCAATGTGCTGTTTCTAATGCCATGTTTTAATAGATACCAGTTACCAGTATAACAAAATCAATACTATTTGCTGATGCAATACACTGCTGATGAAATATATGTAGAATTATATTTCTCTCCAATGTTTTTCTGACATACAACTATTTGCCACTTTTCCAGGATCTGATGTAGGCTATCTTATATCATAGGTGAAAGTATTGGACAAAGAACAGAAAAGTAGATGGAGAAAATAATGTGGTTAGCAGTTTGCACTAATTATTTTGTGATGCTATATAGCCAACCAGAAATTCTATTAAGCCATTCCCACCAATCCCTTCTGGGTTATAGAACTAATTGAGTATGATTTCTTAACAGGCATCTCTCTCTTTGTAACTTATGTTGTATGTCACATTAATCATTTTTTTTTCCCAACAGAATCTAAGATGGCCCAAAATGATCCTTGTATCTTGGTATTCACACCCTTTTATAATCTCCTTCCTTTAAGTGCCACCAGGCTCTGTAAATTGGTTCTAACCCACAGAATATGACAACAGTGATAGAGTGTCACTTCTGTGATTACAATACATAAGATTATAACTTCTGGTTTTCTAGGAGACTTCCTGACTGGCTCTGACAAAGCAAGCTGCCATGTTATGAACTGCCTATAGACAAGGCCATGTGGCAAGGAACAGCTGACATCTGAAGAATGGATGCCCTCAGTCCAACAGCCTGC